GAGCTCAAACAATCCGCCCGCCTCGGCCTCCCAGAGAGCTAGGATGACAGGCGTGAGCCACCACGCCCGGCCTGTTTTTTATTTTTAATTTTCAACAGTTCATTGCTGGTAAATGGAAATACAATTAGTTTTTATATATTTATATTCCATACTACAATTTTCCTAAACTCACTTACTAGTTCTATAGATTCCATCTAATTTCTACATAGATGATGTCATCTGTAAGAGTTTTAATTCTTTCTTTCCAATCTAGATGGTTTTTATTTCTTACTTGCCTTATCACACCAGAGAACCTCCAGTACAATGATTAGTGGAAGTCATGAGAGTAGACATCTTTACCTTGTTCTTGATCTTAAGGGTAAAGTGTTCAGACTTTCACTGTTAAGTATGATGTTAGCTGTAGGTTTTTCACAGAGGTCTTTTATAAGGTTCCCTTCCATTCCTAGTTTCTTAGAGTTTTTATGAGAAATGGATGTTGGATTTTGCCAAATGCTTTTTCTTGCATCTATCAAGATGATCACACTTTTTTTCTTTTTTTGTGTGAGTCTGTAAATATAAGGAATTACAATGATTTATTTTCTAATCTTAAAGCAACCTTCAATTCCTGGGATACAGCCTATTTGGTCAAGATGTATTGTCCTTTTAAAAATATTATTGGATTTATTTTGCAAAAATTTTGTTTAAAATTTTTGACTTTATGCTCATGAGGGATATTGGTCTGTAGTTTTCTTTGAATGTTGTTGTCTTGTTTTTGTATCATGACAATGTTAGCCTCAGAGAATTAGTTGGTAAGGATTTCTTCCTCTTCAGTTTTCTGGGAGAGTTTGTCTACAATCGGTATTATTTCTTCTTTAAATGTGTAGTAGAATTTACCAGTAAAGTCCTCTGGGCCTGGAGTTTTCTTTGTGGTAAGGTTTTTAGTTATCAATTCAAGTTCTGTAATAGACACAGCATTGCTCTGATTATCTATTCCTTCCTGAGTAACGTTTGGGAGTTTGTGTCTTTCAAGGTTTTGTCATTTCATCTAAGTCGTCCAATGTATTAGCATAAAGTTATTCATAAAATTGCTTTTATGAGCTACATAGCTCTTTTATAGCAACAGAATCTCTAGTGATGACACCACTCTCATTCCTAATATTTAAAATCTGTGTCTTCTCTTCTTTCCTTAATCTGTCTGACCAAAAGTTTACCAATTTTATTGATCTTCTCAGAGAACCAGCCTTTGGTTTTTCTTGATATTTTCTACTCTTTTTCCTTTTTTTATTTCAGTGATTTCTGCTCTGTTCTTTCTTATTTTCCTTCTTCTGCTTAAATTGGATGTGTTTTGCTCTTCTTTTTCTAGTTTCTTAAGTAGAAGCTGAGGTCATTGATTTGAAATCCTTCTTTTCTAATGAAAGCATTCAGTGCTATAAACACCTCTTCAACTACCACTTAAATTTTTGTTTTTCTTTTTGAGACAGAGTCTTACTCTGTTGCCTGGGCTAGAGTGCCATGGCTTCACCCTAGCTCACAGCAACCTCAGACTCCTGGGCTCAAGTGATCCTACTGCCTCAACCTCCCGAGTAGCTGGGACTACAGGCATGCGCCACCATACTCGGCTAATTTTTTCTCTATATA